GCATGTCCCCTCCCAGACTCACCGTGCCCTGCACCCGGGGTCCGCCTCCTTGGGCAGGGGCTCCCAGCCAGGTGTGAGGAGTGGGTGGGGTGAATGGAGAACAGGGTGGCGGAGGGGACACAGGATGCAGGGACAGAGGGGAACCTGGTGTCCCCACATGCCTGCGAGATGACATGAAGCCCATACATCCTCTGTGCCGGCCTGGAAGTGGAGGTGGGCCGTGTGAGGGGCCTTTTAAAATTTACGGTACTGGGGATGAACCCACTCAGCCCACCCAGGACCTCCTGATGCTTTGCAGGTGCTCGGTACTGAGCGGCACCTGCAGCCTTTCTATGCTGTTCTGAGTCAGGGCTGGCTGCAATCAGTCTGGCCTTGAGCTTGTGGTCCTCCTGCCTCAGTCTCCTGAGTAGCATGGTTACCTGTGTGTATCCCTGTATCTGTATGGAGGAGTCTCTTATTGCATGACATTAATCCATCCACCCACCCTCCTGTCCATCCCACAAATGCCCAAGCACCTCCAGGGTGGGGTCCACACCAGCTTGGGGTGTTTCTGCAGGAATGACCCACTGTGCAACTGCGGAGGTAAGGGGCTGAGCCCGGCCTGCGGAAAGCACTGAGTCCCAGGTCCTGGGGGCTGAGACACCCAGCAGTCAGTCCACTGCCCAGCCCCCACTGGCAGCCCGCAGCCTGGAGACCTCCCCAGTCCTGCTGCTGCAGGCTTCCTGGGGGCCTGAGGAGTGGGGTGGGGGTCCTCAGGACAGCGGAGGTGTGTAAGGCAACTCTCCTGTGGGACACACCCACACCTAGCTGGTCAGGGGCTGGTGGGGTCCTTTGATGCCCCAGGCGGGCAGATGGTCACAGGCTGGGCTTGACTGGCCCAGCTGCGCCCCCTGCAGGCCACCTGGCCCAACAACTCATCCAGCTGTAGCTGCAGGGGCTTTGCCTAGGAGCCCCAGGGTACAGGAATGTGGGTCAGGGAGCAGCCCCCTGTGGGCCGAACCAGTGCCCCTCCACTAGCAGTACCTCTTGAAAGTGTCCTCTGCTCCCAGGGCAACCCCAACAGTACGCACTGCCTGCAAGCACATCGCAAGCAGAATCCAGCACAGCCCCTCTGTAGGCCTGTTTCCTGGATGCTCCCCAAGAGGGCCTGGGTGGGTCCTGGCATCACTGGGTCCTCCTTATCAGGAACAAGGGACATGGGCTCAGCCCACCCAGGGCAGCCAGAGGGTGATGTGAGAGGGAGGTCCCACTGGCACTCACACCCCTGGGGCTTCCTGGATAGTTGGATGCCAGCCCAGGGGGTACCACTGGGCATGCGCCGACACTGAGATTTGGACTCTGAGAGTCAGAGAGCAGGGGTCATTCTGAGCTGGGTGGCACCTGACATGCAAGGGAGCTGGGCCTCTGGCTGGGGTGCACTGGGGCCTGCCAGAATCTGGGCACACCGGCAATGAACTTGGAGCGGCAGCATTGCTTGGTCCTAGGCAAGGGTCCTGACCAGTGCCAGGGGTGGCTCAGCCCAACCCAAGGGGCCCCATGAGGGTCCTCAGAAGGACCTGGGAGCCTATGTGGGCATCAGCCCAGGCTGGGGAGGTGGTGCAAGCAGAATGAGGGGCAGCAGGTGGGCAGGGGCCATGCATCCTTCTGCTGGTGAGCTCTTCTTCTGCTGGGTGCCGGAACCAGGCCCTGCAAGGCATGCCGGTCATCCCAGCACTCAGGAAGATTGCCTCAAGTTCAAGGCCAGCATGGGCTACATAAAGAGTTCAAAGCCAGCTTGGACTACATGGCAAGACCCTGTCTCAACAAAATAAAACCAAACCAAACCAAACAAAACCAAACAAAACAGCCGGGCGTGGTGGCGCATACCTTTAATTCCAGCACTCAGGAGGCTGAGACAGGAGGATTGCTCTGAGTTCTAGACCAGCCTGAGCTATATAGTGAGTTCCAGGTCAGTCTCAACTACATAGTGAGACCCTGTCTCAAAAAACCCCAAACAAACAAACAAAACAATACAGAAAAAACAGGAACCATGACTGGGGCCTATGCTGCAGCTGCTTTCAGCCTGGAGGCTGGATGTCTGGACAAAGGGCCAGTGCCCAGGATCTGGGGAGGGCTTCCCGGCCTGCACATGGCCGCCTTCCACTATGCTCTCGGTGCCAGAGTACCATGGTCTTTTTTTTTTTTTTTT